CATTTTTTGTCATTTCTCGCATATTTTCACACTATTTTTTTGTAGTTTCGATCTTAGCAAGAAAACTAAAGGAATTCAAGAACCGAGAACTGTCAGAAGCCGTAGTGAAAAAGGTGGTATTCTTAACACCGACTCAGTGTAAGAATTTCTCACCCATTTTTCATGTTATGGTTAAATTGAAACTAAACTGATAATAAATAAAAATTTCAGTTAATTGGTGGTCCTTTAATTAATTAAGTAAAGGTTGTCAATGGAGTAAGTAACTGGTTTGTCTATATTTATTTTGAGTTTTAATTACAGTAATTATTTCTTTAGTTGTTTATTATAGTTATCTATTCATTGTTATGCTTACTTTAACTTATTCACTTTAAATCTATGGCTAATATAATAAAGTTTCTTAAATCTATGTTTTCTGGTCATTTTATTGTGTGTATAATATGTTTCTGTCGGTATAATACATGTTTATTTCACTTATGTACTCAAAAATATGAATTTCGTACTCATGAATTGTTTGGGATATAGATATACGTGTCTTTTAAGGTTAAATAGTAAATAAAAGAAAAAATATGTGTGAATTAATGATGTTGAATAAAAGGGGCCTATCGGGTGTCATAGAAAAGAGTGTATGGACTTAGTGCATATGGTGAATTCTACCGTGAACATTACCATAAGTCGTATGGGGCTGAGAAGTCTTATACCGAAAGAGATTGAGAATTGTTTAAATTACGCTTATACCAGACAGGATATTGAGGCAGTTGTGTATTTTGGCATCCATTATCGGACGGAGTATGGGGACAACTATTTTATTCTAGAGAGAGTGTTCATGTCCACGTATAGTGGGATCCCTATGGACCCCCAGTAACACCGATAGGAAAAGCAAAATGATAGGGATAAATATTATAAGGAATACAATTTTGAAAAATAGTGTAAGGTTAATTGTTATCTGTCTTTTAGAATACGTATTGTAGATTATTATTCTTATTCTTACCTTAATAAATGATATTTAAAAATTTACAGGTGAGTTGAGAAAATATTAACGTTTTCAGTAAAATGAGTAATGAATGTATTATCATTCGAGTTTTATTAAGAATGTGCTCTATTAGTTGTTTTATATTTTCTACGATTCTTTGATTTTCTATATTACTGGTAAGACGTTGATATTCTTATTAAACTAGTGTAACTCACCATTTTATTATTAACAATTTCAGATCAGGACAACCAAGATCCAGATCCTGAACAGCAAAAAATTAATTAAGAGATTGTCTCTTCCGCTTCGTCAGTTTCGTATAGAGTTAATCATATTTATTTTCTCTTATGTTTTTTCTATTAAAGTTTCAAAGGCATTCTCATAACTCTATTAAACATTTTAAGTAAACTGTGTAAGAAATGTAACCCTAAAATCTAATTGTTTCGGCTAACTTATAAATTTCAGTATTATTTATTTCACTATTTCTAAATTAAACGCTCGGAATTCCCAGTAGGGGATTTGAGCTTTTACAAGTAATATAAACTATGATGATACAGAATTAACAAAATATTAATGGTAAACAATCTTAAAGTTCCCTTATATTATTCCATCTTATAATTCCCGAGCAATTGCTAAGTCCTTATCAAGGATTGTGGTTCGAAGTTCTGCTACTTCAACTGAGGCTATAGTAAGAATTTGTTGCATTCAAACGGTCATGATTCTTTCATCTTGATGTCTACGTTATGGTTGCATCTGTTTAACCATAATTATCAATTGAAGCATCACAGTTAATTTTCATCATACTTGGTGGAGGTGGATCCCGTATCGGCACTAAAGTTAGATTCATTTAATGGTATGAATTCAAATCTCGAACTAAGTATTCCAACTAATATAAAGAAAAAAATAACTTTCTTTTTTCATTTCACCTATAAAGTTTGTATTTTTTTAATTGGGTTTGGATAATTAATTCTTAATTATCAATTTAATTCAATTAATTAATTATCAATAACAAGAAAGTCACAATATTAGAAAAATATAATTAACTACTAATTTGAAAAGACAAAGTAGATGACCCACTACAAGAACAATGTCTTCCAACAACAAAATTTGTGGGGACTAACAAAAAATTAATCGTCAATAATAATAAACATATATAAACTCGTAACCTTTTTTAAAAAACTAATAATTTATTTAAAATAAAATTAAATTGGATGTGAATTATTTTAACCAAAAAATTCATCTTTAAAAATATTGAGACTTATAAAACCATTTTTTTTTAATTTTAAGTTCAATTATAAACATAATCTTTCTTCATTTTATTATAAAGTACGTTTTGTATAAACATTGTTGAATTATACATTTTATTATATATTATTACAATATTTTCAAAAATTTTATGGTTAGTTGGTCTAATAATAATTAAATATTTTTTTTATTAATATAGTAATATTATAATTGATATTACAATATTTTTGTTTATAAATTTAAAAATTATTAAAAATATACAATTTATTATTTATTAGTATATTATAAATTATAGTAATCGATGCATAAAATTTATTATTTTATTAGTATATTATAGATTAATTATAAACCTATAATGCTTGATTTATGAGTTTGATACTCGATTATTTTCTTAAAAAATAAATAAATTTTTTTATAATAAGATAAAAATGAAGTGATATTTTTTATAACTCCATTTAAATTTAAATTGAAGAAAATACTTTTTTTTTATATTAACCACTTTAAAAATATAAAGAAAAAATCTAACTCCCTCTCTCTCTCTCTCTGAAAACTGCATTTCAAGGTAGTGGAAATGGAGTCGGTTTCCCTGACCCATGCAGTATTCGCTGCAAATAGGAGAAACCCAGTTCATCTAAGAAAAAGAATTTGATGGCAACCGGGTCGATTTCGTATGGGTGTTATGATCTACTCCAAAAAAATCTGATTTTCAAGGTATCAAACTCCATCTGGTGTAGAGTTGCTTACTTCTTGTTGATATAATTTTGAATTATCTTTCTTGTTTTTGGGTATTTTTCTCTCTTCATTTCTCGGTAATAAGGAGAAATTAATCAGTTCCTTTCTCGCTTTAGTTTATTTTCTCGTGGTTTCTTGGCAACCAAACTATAGTCATGCATGTTATGACTGAGGTTGATTAGTTGGTTGGTGTTTGTTATTTGTTCTCTTGGATTAAGTAGAAGTTTGAGTAATTTTAATAAGTATATAAATGGATAGAATAAACGGAGTGCATAATGGGTGGAAACTATTTAATTAACTTATTCTTTTGATGGGTATTGATCATATAACACAAGATGATTCTGGAGTTCTATTTTAGGACTGAAATTGCTTGCGACATTGAGGTTTTGTGGTTACAGGCAATTCTTGAATAGTATTTTGGCGATTCTTATGGAGCTTTCACGGTGATGGGTGAAATCTCTAAATGGAAACCTCTGGTTTCTAATTCTAGTTGCTTCTCCTCCTTCTTTTTTGAGCAATTCAAGCGCGACCCAAATGACGGATTGGACAAAAACAGTGATGGAGATTCGAGGAATGGATGATTAGTCAAGAATGGTGGATTTTCATGGATTGAACTGTGAAGATAATGATGTAATTTCCAAGAACATAAAAGAAAGAGACGGTAAAGAAAGTTTTTTTGGAGTGAGTGAGGATCAGAAAAGTTACTTTTTCACTTAAATACAAGAATCTTTTCTAGTTCAGATTCTCCGAGAATCTGCAAATTATCTTTTTTCTTGTTCTGGGGAGAAAATGTAAAATCGAAAAAAG